TTCCAAAATTGACCTTTCCTCTAGCTCTATCCAAATCTGCGCATCAGATTTCACTTGTGACTCCCCCGTGTTTGAACCGTCGTATCCATCGCTGCATGCACCCCCAAATGTAATACATCTAATTTAGCTTCAATAAGAGCTCGGTATGAAAAAATGACAGTGATTCCTTTGATCCCCCTTCAAACACACGAGCACTTCGCAGGCAGGCAAAGCGCAAATGTGTGACCTCCCCCCAGCCCCCAAAAGCCAAGGTGGCCACAATACACAAAGAAAGCTTCAGGTAGAATATCATGCGTAGCACATGTGTAACTGATACATTCAGCTCATTGTAATCAGAGGTGACAGAGGATTTTAGAAAAAGCCCAAAATAAAGTAAATTGTCATGCTGTGTGGAATTTCCCTCGGCGTCCACCAGCCCAAAATAATATTTTCCATAAGATTCTTTTTCCCAAGCACTCTGAGGAAAAATATTCTGGTGCAGTATGTGTTGTATCTCAAGAAATCATTGTATTATTGAAAGTTCCCATCTGCCATGCTGTCGAAAAGCTGCAGGCTAATGCAAGCTTCAATCGGTCTCCAGAATAAAAGAAGCAATGATTTCAAAGCGCGACATCTGTTACGCGTCACGAAATGAAAATCTCTCGGAAAACACAATTTGTCCGTTTGCTGAATATTTATTTGCAAAACGAAGGCTACGAATTACGAAGGAATGCTAGCCCCCCTCTTACCTCAAAGAACTTTTTAATGACATTCCATTAATTATGCTGGGATTTACTTGCTGTAGCAAATTTTTGCACGTGTGAAAGAGGACACAACCCGATACAGATCAAGTTTGTTTGGCAAGGCTGATGAAATTGCACAGAAGTTGGGGCTCGGGGGCAACGTGCTACAGTATATTGAATTTTTTTTACTATTCCCTGTAATAACAATAGTTCCTCCTCTCAGCTCCTCCTTTCAGCTGTGCAAACAGATAACGGATTAGTCTTTGAGTCCAGCAAAGAGATGGCTCGTGGTTGTAGGTCAATGACACCTAGGCTAACACAAAATTCAAAGGTGACAGATGTGAACACATGCAGCAGGAAACACATGTACAACAAGCACTTATAAAAGCGTCAAAGTGCAAGCAAGAGGGAACACACAGATCAAGTTTTACACAGTCGTGTGGACTTTGTCAACCTGTTTTTACAAGATTACTTACACAACGATGGTATGTAAATATTACATTCCTTCACCACAAAATTAAAAGGGAGTACAGCATTAAAAACCATGACGTGGACATACCACTTCTACAAATCAAATTAAAAACTTTGGTATTCAGATCAGGTAACAAAAACCGATTCAAAATTTAAAATAAACACATCAGTCGAGAAATTGCATTTCCGGTATGCTCATCAGTACAGGAAATAGCAACGCTTGAAACAACACAATATTTTACGTGGTTACTTGCAATTTTGAAATGTTAAAGTTTTTTGACAAAATAAAATTGTACCTCACAATGTACTTTTTCAGCAAAGTGAAATGCAAAGTTATTTTTCGCGCAATCATAACAAATCAATATTCTGTAGACTGACTAACGCAGCACATTGTGGAGCCTCTGACCTCCATAATTTACCATCGTCTATAAACAAAATGTCCAAATGAAGGAGAGAAAAAATAAAAAAAGAGCAGGTGGCTTGTTGAAATGACAGGTCATTATTCTGTGAGGTCACGTTTTACGATTTCAAGTGAAGCAGTAACTCAAGGAATTTATTTTTATACATTTATACATCTGCACAATAGAATCATCAAAGCTAAAAGATATAAGAAATACAAAAACACAAAATCCGGAACATGTTGGAAAGTGTTGTACTGAGAATAAATAGTTTAAAATGTCCGTTTAGGAGGCTCATGATCCAGGAAGAGGGCCCCTGGGTTTCGGAATGGTGGAGCACATTTCACTGTAGATCTGTTTAAATACATGTGTAAACACACTTGGAGGATAGTTGCTGTGCAGTAACAGCTGTTCACCCCCAACAGAGGTGGACAAAGCGCTCTATAAACTCCTGATTATAACACAGTGAACAGGTTCCTGACAACCAACAAGCACATTGATTGATTTTTAATTCAGTTACTGGATGTGTGACATTTTCCTGCAATAGTTATATAATTTGTGATATTCGGACTGGAAACACTATGTTGATGGCAGGTGTTCTCCCATCGCCTACTCACCTGGACTGACTGCAGTGCAACACCTGGAGGCTTCATTTCTTTATTATTAGTTGCAAGTGTAACAAGGTATCGATGGAGCATCTTATCATCTTATCATGCGTATTCAGCTGGTTGCAATCTCCAACCACACCACTAGATGCCACCAAATCCTACACACTGCCCCTTTAAATATCCAAGAAGCTTTGACACTGACACTCACAGAGCTTCTACATTCAGATTTTTGTTTTCTGTGGTGTTTCCTATTTTAAACTGGCACAACAACACAAATACTTTGTCAAAGTAATTTCATATCTGTAGGACAGATGCTCTTAGAAAGATGTACTTTTTGTATTTCAACAAGCCAGATGTCGAGCGTTCACAGCCCTGCCTGACTTCTTTTCTACTAATGCCAGAGCCCACCTGCCTTGACCACAATCCAAAAACAAGACACTTAAAACACACGGCTAGATCCCAGTTAGCTTAATACCACGTCATTAGCCACTAATAACCATCATTTAATAGCAGAATTCTTGTTATCCCTCCTAAATGAGGCTTGATAAGAAATTCGTTAATTGACGGGAAACTCAAACTTGCAGCGGTCCATGTGTTTTGCTGAAGTATTATTCACTCTCCGTGACTGTGTGTGTTGCTTTAGCTACTGGATGGGGTAACCCCAGTCACTTGCCTCCTCAACACCTGTGTTTACTTTGGGGCCTTCGGCCCCCATGACCCAGCAGCAATCCTTCACTCACTCAGAAGATGGAGTGAGGTTCCAGCCTCCAAATATGTGCTGTCCGTGCACTTTTAGCACTGTGTGATTCCTCTAAGACTTCCATTATGGGGGCACGGGCCAAACGAGTAGTATAAATTACAATCCTTTCCCAAATTCTAGTCAATTTAAGCATTCGGATCCTGTTCTCTTTTACTGTAATGTTAAGCTAAGCTAATAGCAGACGTTGGCTTTGGCGTTTGTTCCTTCTTGTTGTGGCTGTTGAGGCCTTTTTAAAAAGTGCTTTGGGTATGGAAAGTGGATTTGAGGAGCCGTTAATGTAGAATATAAACAAACCTTCTTTGGATGGTGAAGCAGACCCAACTGGATTCAGCAGTTTTGAATATTCAGCACGAAAGAAACAGATTCATGACGAGGGGGGGGTTGCAGGTTCAAACTAACAGGTGTCCGTCAGACAAGTTTGGGATTATTGCTTCAGTATTGAACCTCAGCACTATTTCTGTGTCCGTAGCAACAAGTACCCAAAGCTGACATTTTTCTTTTTTTTAATATTTGTTTAATGTCCTGATTCAAATCATAATTTTGCTCATTTCAGAGTTCCTTTGCAGCTGTGCAGCGTTCTTGTACACTTTGGCTTCTTTTGGTAAACAAAGAAAGGGTTTAATTTGTTTCATATTTCTGAAAGTAAGCTTATCCAAAGAAGTACTGCTTTGTTATTGGTACTGAAACTCAGGTATGTTATCGAAGAATTGCACGCGATACCCAGCACTACCCCTGTGTTTTGTTAGTTGAAGTATTCTTGAGCAAGGCACGTAAATCTCATCAATGTCCGGGAGAAGGGTGGGCCGTTGCGGAGGTATTGTATCCGCTTACGGGCCTCCTTCCTCGGGTTAACGTCGGTGCATTTAGACCTGACCCTGGATACTACCAGGTCTGGGTAAATCCAAGCAAGTAGGTCAGTTTTTCCCACAATGCACTTGTAGTGTAAGGAAAGGCTTGGGCTTCATCAGATTAAAAAAAAGGATGAAGCTAAGTGACTATAAATTAGATTCTTGGTGATTTAAATGAGGTGAAAATGAAGTCATTGTTCACATTGTTCAGCTCTGATTCATGGTTAAAATACACATAAATTCACACACATGGAAAACATCAATATGTAATCAAAAATATCCAAAGCAGCTTATCGGTTTAGATTATCAATAGAAGTAATGGCCTTCTGTGTTTTTCCCCACTGTGCTGTAACTTTGATTTAATGAGCCCTGCTGTCTTTCTTCTTCTGCATTCTTAACCACAACTGAGCGGCTCCCAACGACCTGTTTACTGCCTCCGACACGTTAACTCGCTGTGGATCCCGTGAATGTTTTGCACAGTCAAATCCTGGACGCAGGCCAGACTTCTGTTGCTCGTACTGCAGTGTAAACTGTTCAAATATTAGTGCCGGTGTTTTTTCAGGTGTGGATACATTAGTGTGCCGCCAAAAAAACCCACGTTTCCATGGAAGACGTGGCCAGCCCAAAAGTGTAAAATGCTGCCACAGTATCATATGGAGTCATTAGACTGAGATGTAGTACTGCTCCTCGTACTGACATCAAGAAAGGCAGCATTGTGACATTCTTCATGATCTTTGTAGTTTTCAGATTTTTCTTTCAGAACAATAAACATTCACTTATCAACAATATTTATGATTATATCTGTTCAAAAATGGTATTTTGAGTATTTGGGAGCTTGGCAGTTTTCACTAGACGGCAGCTAGAGTCTATCCCATGACTTTGATTGCATGTCATGCTCGCTTTCTGTTGCATCCTGCATGGTAATTCATAGCTTAAACCTATTTAAATGTGTCATTAATCATACATTGTAAGCTCTTATATGTGTTTTATTGTGCTATAGGAAAGTCCTGAATACATGGAAAGGAAATATCTCTCTACAATGAGGAGCTTAGTTTAGCAAAGATAGGCCACTGCGAAGTGTTAAAGGGTGGAACGCTTCCATAAAGATCCTTTAAGGCTTCATGTGACTTCTTCTTCTTTTTTTTCCAGGTTAAGAGAAACATTTCAAACCGTTTAAATGTTGTCTTTTCCAGGACGCTGGCAAGTGCAGGAAAAGAGCTCAAAGATAACTTCCTGAAAGCCCTGGCAGAGCGAGAGGAGGCCAACCGCAGTGGGAAAATGACTGTGAGTACGTTATTACACCACTCCAATTGCTACGTAATGGGATTCCCCTCAAATATTTCTGCAATTCCATTAGGATGGGAACAGAATCCATACTGTGTCAAGTTGAGTGGAAATGCCCCCCCGTCCCTCCCCAAATACCTCGAGAGCCAGCTGCCCGCCCCTCTCCCATCCATAAAACCCCATTTACCAAACTCTCCACCTTGTCCGAGGTGTGCCTTTTAGATTGAATCACCACGATGATTTCTTAAGGGGCCTCACCTGTGGAGAAGCCTGAAGGGGCATTACCAAGCCACTATGCATGTAACTAGTCTTTAATAACACACTGTCCCCTCACAAACAGACACGAGAAGGGTAACCTCGAGACGTCATAGTTTGAAGTGTAGGGTGGCTGACCATGTCTTTATATATTATATTTGCGGTGAGGACAGAGTCGTACGTTTGTGCACGTAGTTGCCAAGTGTGAGAGGTGCCGAGGAGATGCCCGGCTGAGTGCTGAGGTTTCTGGCACATGGTCGTCTTAAAGCTTTACAGAGAAAGGTGGCCGGGTGTTTCGGTGGGAAAATAGGGTGCTGGGTCCATTAAGGCTATAGCTGTCCGGTCCTAGTTTATCTGCAGTTGCAGTTGAGCTCCTCAAGGGCCTCGTCTCCCGAGTTCTGTCTGTGATTTCCACGGACAGAATCTCCAGGTGCAGCCGATGAGTGGCGACCGTGTGTGGTGGGCTCCATCGGGCCGTGACCTCCAGCACACTCTGGGGGCAGCTTGCAACAGGGTGTGAAGCGGCCGGAAACAAAAGTCCACAGCGCCGAGTGTGAGGTACTGAGAATGCCTCCTCTGGGTCGGGAGTGAGTTGCTGGCCCAATAAAAGAAAGAGCACTTATCTTTAGGTCTCGTTTAAGAGTGACGGTAAGATCAAAAAGGCGTGTTGGCACATCTGTCCTGAGTCTGCATGCTTAGTTCAACTTAGATGCACCAGGGCGAGATGGTTTTAACTATAAACATTACTTTTAACACAATTAACTAGATTCTGTACCGTTTGTGGGGGGGGGTTGCATTCAGCTTTGTTCTGCAGGGATTATAAGTGTTGATAGACTCTAAAAATGATTCACTTCCAAGATGCTGGAGTACAAAAAAAAAGGAGTTTTGTTTGACCTCCACTTACCTGCCCCTGTGGGCTTTGCAATTATGAGATCACATGGAGTGCACGGAGGGGAGTAGAGGTAGTAACACCAGAAGTTTTCCCGCTGGATGTTTCACTGTGTAAACAGAACTTTTTCTTTCAGCTCTTCATAACTTAAACCATTTGAGAGATACGTCTTTTTTTCCCCTCTCTTACAAACCTCCGGTGTACAATGAAGTGATTTAAAGCATTCAGAGAACAGAGACAAAATAAATAAACAAGCAAAATATCCTGTTGTGTCACCAACACTGCTTTGCTGACGTGATGTTTTCCCACCTCTCCTTATTCTTTTCGTCTCTTAAGAGCTTCCTTTGCCGAAAAAATTGGATCAGGAAGATGTTTATTTTCCTTTGAGAGCCCCACTCTGTTTAAAATTGAACCCACATTGGTGTGCTTAATGCCGCTGCTCTGTGAAACTGTTCAACAGGTAATCCTGATACAGTTTGACGAGGCTTGACCTCGGCGGTATATTTACATTACGCAGATGTATTCCAGACATCCAAACATGTGTTGTGCCTTATTCCATGTACTTTACATTCATATTCTACTGTATGTATGTACTTTGCTGGTATTTACACATATGTTACAAATGCTGTATTTTCATATTAACTTCAGCCGCTTGAAGAACTTGGACACGGTTTGGATTTCTTCCCTCTGCTCTCCGTTGCACCTACGATCCTCTTTATAAGAAGTGTCATGTTACCCACGTTAATCTTCGATAGGGTTCAACAATAAGACCACCCAGCGTTGTGGGGTATCTTTCACGCTGTTCACGAGAGCTTTCTGACGGCCTTTTGAAACACATGACTCCAGCTCCTATCGGCCAGGCTCCTCAAACCCGAGGATCAGTCCCACTAACGCGTTCCAGGTCTTCATATCCACTCATCTTTAATGCAAAGCAGTCCCTGTCCTACACGTGCTTTTCCACTTTTTTCCCATTATTTTTTATGTTTGCACATTGTTATTTGAAGGGGGTGACACCCCAGGGGGTAAATAATAACACATACATAAAAGGCTTTATTGGATAAAGCCAGGTTTCTAGTTTCATTATGTTGACATTATTAGTATCAAAGGTTTTTACAAAGGGAATTTTCATCATCTCTTTTTTATCACATAAATCAGAAAATACTGTCCTCAGCCATAAATAATAACATTTTTTGTCATGTTTTCAGAATTATAATGTTGTATTAATCAGGTTATGAAAGATATGTAAAAACCTTAAAAATAAAGACGAATATATTTGTATATAAGTGCTCCTGAAGTGGAGGTTTCAGGCTGAGAAAGTTGTTTGAGGAAACGGCCTTAAAAGATATGTATTAAAGAAGCAATCCTTAAAACTTAAGTTCTGGTTGATTTACAATCATTTTTTGAGTGAAAACAATTGTCTTCTGCTCAGACTTTAGTCTTGGGCTGCGACTGAAATTCCACACTCATTACTTTTTTCCAAATTGTGTGCGTAGTTCCAATTTTTGCGTGTTCACAATGTAGATAAACTGTAACACAGAACTTTATCCGTGGAATGCCACCACAGACGTCCACAGATGACCAGTTTGTAATACTGCAAATATATAAATACTGAAATTACTTTCATCAGTGGGTCATCGGCTCAATCACCATTGTGTTACCTCCTTCGGCGATAGATAGTGACATAACAGACATTTATTTAAAATGAAAAATGTATTTTATATTTTTTTAAGGTAGTGAAATAAACACCAAAATGTCTGTTTGGGTTTCTTTCCACTAGAAGGCATGTTTTGAGGGCAAAATGGCCAAAATGTCAAAATTGACCAGTGAATGAAAAATGTATTGAAAAATGTTTTTGCCTCTGGTGTCTCCCTTTAAGAAGCATTTAAGTCACTCTATCGTGTATGTTTTAAAAGACCCATCAACTTCATCAAAACATAATAATCCTGTCTTCCTTCTAGTTGAATTCAACATTTTTTTTTTAATGCATTTAAAATCCAAATCAAACACAAATTGCCCAATTTGTTTTATTCGCCTTTAAACTTTTAGTGTCTTTGTCGTGAGCTCACCCAGTGTTTGCCGATGCCGTCTCAAGTATCACCCACTTCATTCATCATAATAAGGTTTCATCACTGTGGAGAAAAGAATTTTTTGGGCGCAGAATGGACGCGGAAAAGAAAAATACTGAAAGCTGAGTTATTGGCTCCCATTTAAATGGATGACACATTCATTGTCGTCTTCCGTCTCATTTATCGGAGCTCCTTTGTCTCTCCTTTCATGTCCTGCTCAGCCTTTCAAGTCAGGTTGAAATTACACCTGTCACTTAATACACTCGTCAGGTTCATCCGTCTCTTCTGTCCCGGCCCAAACCGCCTTACAAAAGATTGATAGCAGACATGACTCTTGATGAACAGAGCTCCTCCTCCCCTTTGTGTTCAAGGCAAAAGAATACTAGGAAGTGGATCCTATTTTGCATTCAAAGTACTGACTTTAAAACATTTTCCCGTATGGTTATTGGTCTGTAGAAGGAGCCCTCCGCTATCTTTCTGATCAGCTGAACTCGTAAAGCTTTGCCTTCATTGTGCTTCCACTTCCCCGGCCCTGTTGCGTAAAGCTGCCTCGCTGCCAAAAGTCACACACAAACAAAAGCTGCACCTGGGCAGCTTTGGCTCTATTTGCACTGGGTAAGAAGTTAAGTTTTTTATCAAACCCAGGTCACACCTGCGCAGGATGCCTGAGGGGTGTCCATTGTTGGAAGGTTCCCATCTGAAAGTGAAAGGTGTGCTACCTCCACCCACTCTGCTCCCTGTTTGTTCTCAGTTTGTTGAGAGGCTCTGATGGTATCAGTGTGGAAATTGCAACACATCAAATTAATGTTAAACTAATGAACTTGCTCAGTTATGCAGCAGCTATGCATGAAGCACTAATGCACTGACATTTATAGGGTTCTTCAGCCAAAACTGAAACACTGAGATTTATAACGACTATAAAAAGGATTGAAATAAATGAGATAAATGAAAGCCATGTGCCAAACTCTAGTGAGTGCAGTAGTTCATAAGGGAAGTAGCAGACATGTTCAGAAATGCCCCGTCCTGCAATGTTAAGATATCATGTTAGAAATTGCTTGTTGCCAAATCTGCACCAAAAACATATTACTTGTAGTCTAACCTTCCACTGAATTTAATTTAAATGTGTGAGCCTGTTTTGAGCTAACTAGTTAGTTATAGTAATGGGATATAAAGCATAACCGTATTGGTGGTGCTAATAATCAGTGATATCAGAATGCTTTGCTATTAAAATAAACATTACTGATGAATCTCTATAAATTGAGTTAAGTTTTGAAGTTAATTTAATAAAAGATGAATCTGTCCAGTATGCACCACAAGAACTGGGCCTTGATACGTGCTGCTTCTGTGACATCATGTAGTGTGGCATGATGATCAAAACTACCAGAGTATGACAGAAGGGAGAAAGTTACCTTCCACTATTTGAAAAAGTATCATGTCAACCAAATCACATTCACTAAACGTAATGAATTATATCAGACTGATAGTATGAGATGGTATCATTGAATTAACAGTGAATAACATGGTTACCCATGGTGCATTACATGACCGACATGATGACTGATGATGATGTGTTTCACCTTCATCAAATGTTGTTGACCAAAGAACACAATGTACCCTGAAAGTAAATATTCACTCCCCTTAAATATATATTAAATATGTTTCTTATTGTGTCGGTGAAGCCGATCACTCATTCGGTAACAAGAGGGAATGTCGATAAAACAATAAAGAGGGACTGTTTGCTCCCGGCTCATTCCCAAACAGCAGCACTGTCACAGAAGTCAGTTTGTTGT